TAAAGTTATGTAAAACCAACCACCCTTTGGTGAAGGCCAAGATTATGCCATTTCAAAAACTGGAATGTAACATTAACTTCACTCACTCTTCTAAGTAATTCCTGGCTCCATTCTCCTTGGCGGCTCCAAGTCACATTTAATCTGCATAATTGGGAATGTGGCCATTCACTTTGGAGGCACATATATAAGAGTTGTGTTATCTAACGCTCTTTCGAATGCTTGCTCTCATGAGACGGAGTTCAAACATGCTTAGGCCCCTAAAACAGGGTGGGAGCGCATGTTGTATGGTAGACAGCTTACAGGAAATCGAAGTGTGTTACACAAATGACATAACTGAGGCTGACCTGGGTTTTCCAAATTCCAAAAACAAACCGTCCTTGGGGACCTGTTGTTCACATATGTGAGAATGCATATATTTTGATCGTGTTATTCTTGAAAGTGCTGTGCTGTTTCTTTTATTATGGGCGTATTCCAGACATAAGAACATATTTATTCCAATTAAGTCAAATGAATTTGTTATTTAAATGTTTCTTAGCCACTTTTCAAGACTGCTCTTTCCAAGGCAGATTGTGAGATAAAACAATAACATGCTATACAAAATTATACAAGTACTTGTAAAAAATCAAACAGTTTGAACATAATTAAATAGTTGACTGCATTCTAACATCAGGAAATAACATGAAAGCTTTTCAATTAAAAGCCAAAATTGAGCATTTTTCATGCAAGTCCGAAATATTTGGAAAGCATATTTGAAAAGGCTGTTTTAGGCTTTGCCCACAGTTCCCTATCAGACTTTCAAAGTTGCATGAGGATTTGAATTTGAAGCTGGCTTCTCAACTGCAGGCTGGATTCCTGCGCACCTGGGAACAAGCTGCAAAACCTACCTGTGTTTATAGCCACAAAAGATATGGGGAAGATGGGAAAACTTTAGGGTTGACACCTGTTGCTCCTCCTCCTCCTTCGTGGTCTCTGTGCATCTGCATGGAGCCCATTGTTAAGAAGATTTAAACTGTCCCGAGATGGTTGCTTCCACAACACTGCCTGCCAGCGTCTCAGTACCAGACCTCTGCAAAGCAGCAATCCGGTTGACTCCATCCACCTTCGCCGAAAGCGCTGCCTTGACATTTGGGCCTGAGCTGACTGTGCTGTTGGGAGAGTGGCCCTGCTGGCAAGAATCAGATGGGACACCCCTCACCTTCCTCGGATGGGTATGCTTGCTAGTTGCCCCTATGTGAGATGCACAGAAACCACGGAGAATAAAGGCCAGTTGCTTACCCAGCGCAATTGTCATTCTTTGAGTGGTCATCTGTGCATTTACGCAACCCAGCCACCTACTCCACTGAGAAGCATGAATGGCTCAGCGATCCACGTCATGTCTTTGTTCCTGTGTTTTTTTCTTTTCTTAATAAGAGTAGGGTACTCCTCTGCTGAATGTGGCACAGGTGCTGCTGATTCTCTTGGTACCAACCCTTGTGGTATTATTCCCCAATGCGGAGTGGGACTGTTCTGCTGTACGTGGGGCTGGTACTGCCGTTCCTTCCTTAGTCCCGAAGACGCTGTGCGGTCTTGTTGGAACTGAGGGAAATGGTGGGAGCCCCTTCCTTTTATACCTATGCTGTGGTGGGGAGCTGTTTCTGCTGAAATGCTCTCAGTGATTACATCTTCCTGACAACAGCCTTCGTGCAGGGGCACGGCCCATGTGCGTGAAAGGACAGGTGACCACTCAAAGAACAACAGTTACTCCTCAGTAACTTGCCTTTATGGACTTACTACCGTGGCAGCTTCATTCACAATAGAAAACTTTTTCTAGGAATGTAAGAAGAACCATTCTGGGTCAGAGAAAAGGTCTATCAAGCTCAGCATCCTGTTCCCATCATGGTCAATGAGATGCCCCAGTGGGGAGATCTGTAAGTAGGAAATGAGTGCAATAATTCCTCTTTGTTCATGTTCCTCAGCATGTAGTACTGAGAGACAGGCTGCTTCTGGTATTGGAGACGACATCTATCCATCATGATCCTGATTAGCCTTATCCTGTACGGATGGAGCTGGTCCTTGTTTTACCCGAAGAAACGAAGTCTCAACAATCCATGGTATGCATCACTTTCTTTGGTGATGTTAATGATGCCACTTGAATCTCATGCTGCAGCCTATGCCGTAAATCGCCAGCATTCTGCTTTAGATGCCAGATGTTTCCTTCACTGCATGGAACACTTGGATCAATGGGGACCAACGAAGAAATGATAAATTTGCTGGAAAAGAAAATTGCAGGGACATGATGCATCTGCCTCTCCTAAAAAATAATACATAGCTGTTTTATTGGAACAAAATAATCAAAAAGCCACCTTAGGTATCATACATTTATGAGGACTAACCAAAAGGTCTCAAAGTAACGAGCTTTTATGCTCCTCAGAACTCTTCTTTGATAAATGAAATGGGCCTCAAGTTAGAATATACAGTAAGTAGCGGCATGTTGTGTAAAAGCTACTAAGTTTTCTGTTTGTAATAGTCTTAAAATGGAGTGCTAAAAGAATTGGGCAGGGTTGACTACATTATCCTGTGCCAGCTGGGTGCTAAACGAATTTGAGGTTGCACCAAGGTTAGGTGAGCAAACAGTGATGTAGTGGAGGAAGAATGAAGGGGAGCGAAGTTCTAGGGATTTGTTTGTTTGTTGTTTTGTTGAGAGCAGGAGTGGTGACGTCTGAACATCTCCAAGGATCTCCTTGCTCTGGCATGTGAAAATGACAATAAGGCTTTCAACTCTCTTATGTTCCTTAAGTTAACCTATCTCAGGATCCAAGACATTGTATCCTTCACAAGGATTTTGGCTACAGATCAGCTCCCCAAGACAAGCTTCTGGTGAAGGATACAATGTTTGTGACAGATTAGCACAGAGGAAGACAAAGATGAAGAAAACCATCAAGCAGAGGAGAGACCCTGAATTTTCTTTGATGGAATTTCTCCTTCATTCTGCTAGTTTTAATAGTAATGCTTCTTTGCGAGGAGATTGTTCGCAGTAGTCATGAAAAGCTAACGGCTGCTATCCGTAGGCTGAAGCTCTGATGTCAAAACTGGATGTGTTTCACAAGTTACACTGTTTGGGCCAAAAATATGAGCACTGCCAAGTTCAATGGAACTTACTCCCAGGTAACAAACTGATATTTATATTATGCTGTTGGTGTATAAGTTCATATGCATTCAGGTAAGTTTTACTTACTTAAATACTCTACCCCCTGGGGCAACCCCCCCCCCCCCGATGCTTCCTCAGTTTCCTGAAAAATGTAAGCCCTGACAGGAGCTCACCTCCTTCTCCACCATTAAGGGAGTGGCTTAGTGAAGCCAGAGAGTAATTTTAGGGTGTTCCCTTGGGAAAAGTCACAAAAGTCTTCTAGTTGGAAGGCATGCAAGACTCTGCCCTCTGAAGTGAAGGGTTCTCTCCAGGTGATGGAAGATCACCTTCCTTGAGTATTTTGGGGGAACTCTTGGGTAGAACAGTTAGGCTGCAATCATGTACCCACTTAATTGGAAACAAGCTCCATGAATTTAATGGATTTTCTGCTGCATAGACATTTGTAAGCTGCTCAGGGCAAAGACAGGTGTGGAAGTGCGTGGAAACACATCTTATTCTTGAACCTCGTCTACCTCAAAGGGTTGTTGGTGGGATGGAAGAGTAAGACACTTTGAGTTCCTTCCAGAAGCGCTGGAGACAAGAGAGACACCACAGCAGCCTCTTCTCAAGCCTTTCCGGTCCCGCCCGGCTGATGGCAGCTCCCAGAGTGGCGACAACCCTGGAAAAGTGGTGGCACCTTCCCTAAGGGGCTTTGCCAAGGTGAGTGACTCGCACGCGGGCACCTCGACCGTGGAGGGGGAGCCTTTCCGGCGCCTCGCTGTGCCCGCAGCATGCCTGCCGCGCCCCGTCGCTCCGGGCACGGGCAGGGCCCCCTCTCCCGAGCGGGCGGGCGGGCGGCCACGGACGCCCCGCGGCGAGCGGGCACAGCATCCCGGCCGGAGGGGAGCGGGCGCGCCTCCCCGCCTCGCGGGCCCGCCTGCAGGGATCACGGGAAAGGTTAATCGGCCGTCTAGACGGCGGTGCCATGCGCGCGGTGCCCGCTTGACCCACTTGCCCGCGGCGGCGCCAAGCGGGGGGGGGGCTTGCGCGGCCGCCCCCCGCCCCGCCTCGCCTCGCCTCGCCCCGCTTTGTGCGGCGGCCCGCGAAAGGGCGCGCAGGCGGGGGGGCGCGCGAGCGGAATCCGAGACGTGTTTTGCACGAGGAGCGCGAGGGCGCCGCCCCCCCGGCCCCCCCGTTCCCCCTTTTCTTCTTGGGGGAGGTCTGCGCTTGGCTCAGTCCTTTCCGTCTCTCTCTCTCTCTCTCGCGAGAAAAAAGACGCGGCGAGGACGCGGCTCGCAGAGGTGGGGGAGAGCGGGCGCGGGGACGGGGGGGCGAGGGAGGGGAAAAGGCGGAGGAGGAGGCGGCGGCAGAGCGCGGCGAGCGAGGACGGCGGGCGGCACGAGCGCCGCTGGATGCAGCGGCCGAGGCAGGACGAGCCGCGCTCCCCGCAGCGCCCCCGGCAGCGGCAGCGGCGCCCGTGCGTCCCGTTCTGCCTGCGAGCGCAGGAGGTTCCCCGCGCGGGCTGCTGGAGAGCGGGGCGCGGGCGCGGGCGCGGCCGGGCGAGGTGGCGCGGGACTGACAGCCGCCCCTGCGTCCCCGCCGCCGGGATGCGCCGGCGAGGCAGGCGAGGCGAGGCGCGCCACGCCGCCGCGCGCCCCGCTGGAAGGCGGCAGGCATGGCCAGGAGGGGGGCGGCTGCCCGGGGGCTTCGCCTCGCCTCG